TTTTTTCTAGGGATCCAGAGCGTCCGTTTGACACCGAACGTCCGAGGAATTGGGGCTCGTTTGGAGCAGAACTCAATGGGTTAAAGCCGTGGTGAAGGGGTGGTTTCAGATGCTGTTTGGGAGGCTGGTTAGTGGTGGAAAATGCTAGCAAATTGTTTTTTTCTATAGGGATCCAGAGCGTCCGTTTGACACCGAACGTCCGAGGAATTGGGGCTCGTTGGGACCAGAACTCAATGGGTTAAAGCCGTGGCGAAGGGGTGGTTTCAGATGTTTTTTGGGAGGCTGGTTAGTGGTGGAAAATGCTAGCAACTTATGATAGATCCGCCAGAACTCAATCGTTTGGAGCAGAACTCAATGGGTTAAAGCCGTGGCGAAGGGGTGGAAAGCTTTTGGCAGGCTGTTGGTGGAAGCTTTTTGGGAGGCTGGTTAGTGGTGGAAAATGCTAGCAAATTGTTTTTTTTCTAGGGATCCAGAGCGTCCGTTTGACACCGAACGTTCGAGGAATTGGGGCTCGTTTGGAGCAGAACTCAATGGGTTAAAGCCGTGGCGAAGGGGTGGTTTCAGATGCTTTTTGGGAGGCTGGTTAGTGGTGGAAAATGCTAGCAAATTGTCTTTTTTCTATAGGAATCCAGAGCGTCCGTTTGACACCGAACGTCCGAGGAATTGGGGCTCGTTTGGAGCTGAGCTCAATGGGTTAAAGCCGTGGCGAAGGGGTGGTTTCAGATGCTTTTTGGGAGGCTGGTTAGTGGTGGAAAATGCTAGCAAACAATCCAGAGAGCAGGCAATGAAACGCTCCGCACGGGCACGGACCTCGACACCGGAAAGAAACGACGATTCCAGAAGAGCAACCTTTAAAAGGACGACTGAAACCCCTGTTCGAAAAACCCTCGCAATGCCAACCAGTGGAGGAAAAGCCGGACCTGAGAATCCGGGGTCGGCGGCAGGGGCGGCAGCCCTTAATCCGGGCGCCGGCCAGGGCCCGTGTCCTTGCCGGAGGCCTTCGGTGGTAACCGAAGGTTATGTACGCTGGCCGCCCCTGCTGCCGACCCTTTTGTTGGACCGCGTGTATACCCCCGCCCGAAGCGTGTCGACAGATTTTTGACGGATTTTTATGTTATTTATATTTTATCTACCAGCATGATTGCGCATGATGTGGAAAACATCGTTTTTTACAGTGTTTCGTGGCCTTCGGCGGACATGACTTGCGTCTAACAGGGCACTGGTGGTGTCGGTTATGCGTGCCGCGCGGACGGGCTTAATCGACATTTCGTGGGTGTTGGGCACAGAAGTTGCCTAACATTTCCCCAACATAGGCCCAAGATAGCCAACATATGCCCAACATAGCCTCCAAGATGGCTCAACATAGGGCCGACATATGCCAACATGGGGCCAACATACGCCAACATAGGCTCAACATAGGCCCAACCTAGGCCAACATAGGCCTAACATAGGCCGACCTAGGCCCAACATAGGCTCAACTTGGGCCCAAGATGTGCCTAACATAGACCACATGGGCTCAACTTGGCCCAACCTAGGGCCAAGAGCGAAACCGTTGAACACAAACCCTCACCCTGCTTGGCCGGCGCCCGGCTGTCAGGCGTAAGCCTCATAAATCCGGGCGCCGGCCACGCGCACGTTCCCTTGCCGGAGGCCTTCGGTTGGTAACCGAAGGTTATATACGCTCGCCGCCCCTGCCGCCGACCCTTTTGTTCGACCGCGGGGATACCCCCGACCGACCCCCGCCCAAATCCGCCCGACAGATTTTTATGTATCTTGCGCTGGATGTTCGAGAAAGGTTCAAAAACATCGTTTTTTACAGTGTTTCGTGGCCTTCGGCGTCCACGACAGGGTGCCCGTGGTGTCAGTTATGCGTGGCGCGCGGACAGGCTTAATCGACATTTCGTGGGTGTTGGGCACATGAGTTGCCTTACATATCCCTAACATAGGCCCAAGATAGCCAACATATCCCCAACATATGCCCAACATAGCCTCCAAGATGGCTCAACATAGGGCCAACATAGGCCAACATGGGGCCAACATAGGCCCAACATAGGCCCAACCTAGGCCAACATAGGCCTAACATAGGCCAACCTAGGCCCAACATAGGCTCAACTTGGGCCCAAGATGTGCCCAACATAGACCACATGGGCGCAACTTGGCCCAACCTAGGGCCAAGATGCGCACCAGATAGCTTAACTTTGCTCAATATAGGCCCCACCAAGTCTCAAAGAGAGAGAAAGAGAGAGAGAGAGAGAGACAAAGAGAGAGAGAGAGAGAGACAGAGAGAGAGAGAGAGAGAGACAGAGAGACAGAGAGACAGAGAGACAGCCCTGCGCCTAACCCAAATTGGCCGGCGCCCGGCTGTCAATTACGCCTCATAAATCCGGGCGCCGGCCACGCGCACGTTCCCTTGCCGGAGGCCTTCGGTTGGTAACCGAAGGTTATATACGCTCGCCGCCCCTGCCGCCGACCCTTTTGTTGGACCGCGGGGATGCCCCCGCCCGACCCCCGCCCGAATCCGCCCGACAGATTTATATGTATCTTGCGCTGGATGTTCGAAAAATGTTCAAAACATCGTTTTTTACAGTGTTTCGTGGCCTTCGGCGTCCACGACAGGGTGCCCGTGGTGTCAGTTATGCGTGGCGCGCGGACAGGCTTAATCGACATTTCGTGGGTGTTGGGCACATGAGTTGCCTTACATATCCCTGACATAGGCCCAAGATAGCCAACATATCCCCAACATATGTCCAACATAGCCTCCAAGATGGCTCAACATAGGGCCAACATAGGCCAACATGGGGCCAACATACGCCAACATAGGCCCAACATAGGCCCAACCTAGGCCAACATAGGCCTAACATAGGCCGACCTAGGCCCAACATAGGCTCAACATGGGCCCAAGATGCGCCCAACATAGACCACATGGGCTCAACTTGGCCCAACCTAGGGCCAAGATGCGCACCAGATAGCTTAACTTTGCTCAATAGGAGAGGGAAAGAGAGAGAGTGAGAGAGAGGGAGAGGGAAAGCGAAAGCGAGAGAGAGGGAGAGAGAGAGAGAGGCAAAGACAGCGAAGACGGAGACAGAGAAGACCGAGACAGAGACAGAGAAGACAGAGACAGAGACTGACAGAGAAGACAGAGACAGAGACAGGGACAGAGACAGAGACAGAGACCGACAGCAAGAGAGAGAGAGAGAGAGAGAGGGAGAGGGAGAGGGAGAGAGGATCCAGTGCGCGGACTCTAACCCAAATTGGCCGGCGCCCGGCTGTCAGGCGTAAGCCTCATAAATCCGGGCACCGGCCACGCGCACGTTCCCTTGCCGGAGGCCTTCGGTTGGTAACCGAAGGTTATATACGCTCGCCGCCCCTGCCGCCGACCCTTTTGTTAGACCGCGGGGATACCTCCGACCGACCCCCGCCCGAATCCGGTCGACAGATTTTTATGTCATGTATATTTTATCTACTAGGATGATTGCGCATGATGTGGAAAACATCATTTTTTACAGTGTTTCGTGGCCTTCGGCGGAGACGACTTGCGCCTAACAGGGCGCCGGTGGTGTCGGTTATGCGTGCCGGGCGAACAGGCTTAATCGACATTTCGTGGGTGTTGGGCACAGA